CTCGGGCATCCCAAAATTTCGGGGGCACCCCAAACCGGGCAAGGAGCCCAGGCACCTCAGGGATCCACCTCTCATCCCAAAAATAGCTGCTCCACTTTTAGGACTCTTTCTGCTTCATGTGACAGATTTTTGAAGCCCCCCCCCAAAAAAAAAAAAAAAAGGAGAAAAACACCAAATATTTATCAAAACTTCCAGTCTTCTTTCTTCTTTTTTTTTTTTTTTTTTTTTGGTTGGTTTTTTTGGCTTGTTTTTTTGTTTTTTTTGGGTTTTTTTTGTTTTTTTTAGGGTTTTTATACTTTTTTTTGTTATTATTTCGAGGCGGGTTTTAGCCATCTGGAGAATGAAAAAGCTCTGGCAGGGCCGGTGAAGTGTCAGCGAAAAGGCTTTAAAAATGTTGTTATTATTATTATTTATGGGCTGCAGCCCCAGAAGGGGGAAGGAAGCCAAAAAAAAAAAAAAAAAAAAAAAAAGTTCAAAAATAGCTGGAAAAAGGGAAAAAAAAAAAAAAAACAAAACAACCAAAAACAAGCCGAGATGTTTTTTCCAGAAGCTCGTTTTGAGTGTTTGGGATGCGAAAGCTGAAAAAAAGAAAAGAAAAAAAAAAAAAAAAAAAAAAAAAAGACCTTGGAAAAACACGAATATTTTGGGAAAGAGAGGAATTTTCCTGTGGAATTCCACATTGGTGGGGGAGGGAATTAAAACTCAGTGATCTCACAGCCCCCCAATTTTTTTTGGCTGTTCCCAAAAATTCCAGGTTCCTGGAGACCCCTCTGGTCCCCGATTTTTGGGACTGGTGGGGGTTTTTTTCCTGCTCCTGGCAGGTTGTCCCAAAAATATTCCCGGTTCCTGGAGGCTACTTTGCCGAGGGAGACGCTTCGGGAACGGTGGAAATCTCTGGAATTTCACAGCTGGATTCAGGCTGGAATTCCGCAGCTGGATCTGGGCTGGAATTCCATAGAAATATCCTGGTCGGAATTCCACAGCTGGTTTGGGGTTCCCGAGAATATTTTGGATATTTGGGAACGCCCCGGTTTAGGATCCCCACAGGTTCCAATTTTGGGGTCCCCAGGGATGCTCAATTTTGGGATTTTGGTGGATGGCCCATTTGGGGACAGGGTCCAGAAAGGGGGATACCAAATTTCCTTTCCCCTTTTCACCTCCTGTTCCCTCTCACTTTTTAAATTTTTTTTAAATTTATTTTTATGCTTTTTTCTCTATTTTGGGCCTTCCCAGCTGCTTCCTTTTATCTTTTTCACTCAGACCCTGTCATTACATTTTCCATTCTTTCAAAGAAATAAAAATAACAAAAGCGGCTTCCCAAGCTCCTTTCCAGCTCCTTATTCCAGGGGAGAAGGGGTAGAATATCCCAAAATTCCCAAAATAAAAATAAATAAATAAATAAAATCCCAAATTCTCCCGCTTCCCTGTGGGTTTGGTTTTTTTGTGTTTTTTTTCTGTAGGAGGGGGGAATATCCAAAAAACAAGCCTCCACGAGATCCCGTGGCACATCCTTTTCCCTTTTTGGGTTTGGTTTTTTGTTTGGTTTTTTTTTTTTTTTTTTGGGAGCTGGCCATCCCAAATTACCGGGGCGGGCCGGGAGCTGCCGGCTCCGGGCTCCCGTTCCTGTTCCCGCTTGGAATGGGGCCTGGAATGGGGGGAAAAGAAGCAACTGAGTTCTTTTCTCATCCCATTTTTCCACTCTCCCGGGATATTCCCAGCCCTGGACCCTCCAGGGCTGCATCCTGGACCCTCCAGGGCTGGTTCCACCTCTGAGTCACCCCAAAATTCACATTTTGGGGACATTTTAGGGGATCCTCTCTCCATCCCCATCCCACATTACCGTTTTTTAGCATCCCCGGTGATAAAAAAGAGGGGAAATGAGGTTTTTACAATTACAAAAATCCTCTCTGGATCCCCCATTCCACAGATAGATGTTCCCGGGATTGGGAATCACCCCTTTCCTGTCCATCTTTTGGGGTTTTTCTTGCCTTTCCCCCTTTTTTCCCTCCCCCCCCCCTTTTTTTCCCTTCTCCTCCCCCCATTTTTTCTCCCATTTTTCCCCATTCTTTCCCTTTTACCCCCTATTTTCCTTCCCGACTCCAGGGAGCCGCTTCCACCTGCCCCAAACCGAGCAGGTGACGGGAAACGATCCCCCATTCCCGAATTCCCGACATTCCCAACATCCCCAGATTCCCCGATCTCGGCATTCCCGACATTCTCGGATTCCCGCATTCCCACCGGATCCTGAATCCCGACATTCCCTCACTGAATTCCCAAATTCTCACATTCCCACATTCCCGGATTCCCACAGAATCCCGGATTCTCGCATTCCCGACATTCCCGGATCCCCGACATTCCCACACTGAATTCCCGCATTCCCGCATTCCTTCATTGCCACAAGATCCGCAATCCCACACTGAATTCCCAAATTCCCGGCACTCCCTCATTCCCGCAGGATCCCGGCATTCCCACACTGAATTCCCAGATTCCGACATTCCCCCACTGAATTCCCGCATTCCTTCATTCCCACACGGAATTCTCAAATTCATTCATTCTCGCAGGATCCAGGCATTCCGGCATTCCCGCCCCGGATTCCAGCATTCCCAGATTCCCACAGGATCCCGAATCCCGGCATTCCCACACTGAATCCTCGCATTCCCTCATTCTCGCAGGATCCCGGCATTTCCAGATTCCCGCCCCGAATTCCCAGATTCCAGCATTCCCACATTCCCACGGGATCCTGGATCCCGGCATTCCCACACTGAATTCCCACATTCCCAGATTCCCTCAGGATTCCAGATTCCCGCATTTCCCACACTGAATTCCCAGATTCCCGGCATTCCCGCATTCCCGATCCGAATTCCCGGAATCCAGCATTCCCGCATTCCCATATTCCCACAGGATCACGGATCCCGGCATTCCCGGATTCCCACAGGATTCCAGATTCCCCACATTCCCACATTCCCACATGATCTCAGATCCCGGCCCTGTCCCGGCCGCTGCAGCCGGGAGCATCCCCCCGGAATTCCCTGGGAATGGTGGGGACAATTCCTGGCACCCGGGGGAAATCAGGCTCCGGGGGAAAATGGGATCCAGGGAAAAACGGGATCCAAGGTTAAGCAGGATCCAGGGAGACAAAAAATCCAGGGAAATGTAAGATCCAGGGAAAATCAGGGTCTAGGGATAAGTAGGAGCCAGAGGTAAACAGGATCCAAGATTAAGCAAGATCCAGGGAGATGCACGATCCAGAGAAAAGCAGAATCCAGGGAAAAACAGCACCCAGGATAAGGAGAATCCAGGGATGAGAGAGATTCAGGGACAGGAGGGATCCAGGGAAAACGAGCACCCAGGAAAAGGAGAATCCAGGATAAAGGAACATCCAGGATAAGGAGAATCCAGGGAAAAACAATACCCAGGACAAGGAGAATCCGGGATACGGAGAATCCGAGATAGGGAGAATCCAGGATAAGGAAAATCCAGGGGAAAACAACACCCAGGATAGGGACAATCCGGGATAAGGAGAATCCGGGATAGGGAGAACCCAGGATAGGAAAAATCCAGGGAAAAACAACAACCAGGATAGGGAGAACTCAGGATAGGGAGAATCCTGGACAAGGTGAATCCGGGGTAAGGAGAATCCAGGATAACAACACCCAGGACAGGGAGAATTCAGGACAAGGAGCAGCCAGGCACAGGCAGCACACAGATTTTGGGAAGGAGGGGTTGGAATGACACCTCGCCATGGAATCTCAGCATTCCAGGTGCCTCCTCCCTCCCCCTCTCCCCCGCCCGCCGTGGGATCTCATCCCGGCGGGACAGGGCCGGGATTTGGCCGCGTTTTCAGCCAAGGAACCCCCCCCCCACCCCCACCCCCGGAGGCCCTCGCGCCTCTTTTGATCCCGCATCCAGCGAAAAGGGTGGAAAAAGGGTGGAAAAATGCCGCGCCGAGGCCAGGGCGGCTTGGAAAAAGGGAAATGTTGTCCCGGGTTTGGCCCCATAAACGCCGCCTGTTCCATTACAGCATCCGCGGCTGGGACGGCGAGGAGGGAAAGGAGAGGGAGGGGGGACGACATCCAGAAAAAAAAAAAACAAACCTCGCTGAGAACACCCAGGTGGCAGCAGGACAGAGCCACCCTGTCCCTCACCCTGTTGGGGTCACGCAAGCGGTGGCCAGATGGTGGCTTTGGCACATCCCGGTGCCAAACTGGGGGGGCAGCTCTGGGTGGGTGCCCCCCTCCCCCTCCCCCCTGGCCGTGTCTGCCACGTCCCGCTGGCCACGGCGAGCTGGCACCGAGCCCCCCCTCGGCTTTTGCCAGCCCGGCTGAGCCCGGCCCAAGGCAAACAGGAGCGGCCGGGATGGTGCTACCGAACGGGGGCAGGGTCTGGGGACAACGGGGACACGCGGGGTTGGGTCCCCCCCACTCCCCGTCCCGGAGAAGCCCAGCAGCCAGACGGGTGTATAAGAATTGTATATTTTTTGTAATAAATAATGTACAAATCCGCCCAAATCGGGGCGGAGGTGGCACAGCAGGGAGGGATTTTATTCGCGTTAACCTTGGTGTTTCCTCCCCCCTCTCCTCCCCCCCCCAAAAAATCCGTTTTTTTGTAGGATTCAGGGATGAAATTCTCCCGGGGGTTCCAGGCGGGGACCCTCTTGTCACGCCCGCCCCTTCCCC